AGGAACTTACCTCTTTTGCAGCTTGAGCAAGATTTCAACTCGTTTCGAAGAACTGAAAGTTCAATCAGTCTTGTACCACAAATATCAACCTCATATTTAGTGTGCTGTAATGATAAGATTTTTGCTTGTCTATTTGATTATGAAGAATCAAAAGAAGAAAAGGAAGGAAGAAGACGTAACAAAACTCAGTCGAACCAGCCGAAACGCAACAGCGATGTAACACACATAACTTACCTGGTGTGACCTTGTTTTTATTTTCCTTGGAGATTCGCAGTCTTTTTCTTCTTCAGGCAGATTTTCTTTCACTTGAGTTCTCTCTTTTTTTGCTGTCGCGAGATTTCGTATCGATTGGATTTTTCGTTTCGATGCGAAGCAACCCTTATGTCGCCGAGAATCGCCTTTTTTTGTTTTTTTTGTTTCTGTCTCCTGCATGCACAGTGGCTGTTGAATACATCAAATACACGCTGGTGGGCAAACTTGTTACAAAACAAGACAAAAGTTTCGTAGATCGAAAAAAAGCCTTGCGCCGCCATATTTGTTTTGAATTTTTCGCCTATTAAATCTCGCGCTTCCTTCGCGCGTTTCTCTCGCGCGTGATGCACGAGAGTGACCAACTCCCCCGCGAGGAAACTGGTGCCAGCCACCTGAAGTCATTTAATCAATGGCAATTAACTTTAAAATTATTTCGCATTTGCTACGGTGAATTACAGAATTGTTCATTTTCTGTCCTTTTCATCAAATCTAAGTCAAGAGTAGTAATAAAGTGATTACGTAGGTTTGCTCGATTTTCCACTCCTAAATACTTTCCACATGAAACATAATGATTTGATCGTGAGACAACGATTACATTTCATTTAGAATGTGCATTTACAGATAGAAATCGTAAATACAAGATACATCAAGAACAATTATTGAGAGAGCGGGCGAGAGCAGTAAAAAGTCGTAGAACAAATAGGACTGGTACGAACGGGACACCAGGACCCATGCGAGCCACCGCCCATAAGATAAAAAAGAGAAAGAAAACAGAATTATAACACATGGTTATTATTATTTAAGAGAAAAGAAACTACAAACTACTGGTAACGGGTAGGATCGCACAATTTTCTAAGTACAGAAATAATTTACGTAAAAGTACATTGAAGCGGGTGCTGTTATGTCGAGTCCACTCATTCTTGTTGGTTAAGGTGGTAGACGGTGTCAAATGCCTTCGCAAAATCCAAATAAAACACGTCCATCTGGATGCTTTTGTCAAGGTTTTGTCTCATAGTATGTAGTACAGATAATAACTGAGTGTTGTAAAGGGGAGATTGAGTTATCAGTGAACTCAAAAAACGATTAAACGCGCACTGTTCCAAGACTTTGCAAACAATCTGGAGAAGCGATATGGGTCGGTAGTTTTTAGCAAGCTTTTTTTTAGTCTTTCTTGTGAATAGTTGCCATGTCTGCGGATTTCCACGCGGTAGGAATTTGACCACCGCTAAGTGACTGGTTAAAAATCTCGAAAAGGCTTGAGGCGATTTGTTCGCTACATTCTTTCAAAAGGCGCGCCGGAATGCCGTAAGGCCCACAAGCTTTTGAGGTGTCACACCCATTCATTCATTCAAGTGCTCTCTCACATCATCAACCGACACATATATTTGAGAAATTTCCATATCTGATCTAGGTGATTTGTTCTTTGGGGCTATGTTTACGTCCAGAGTAACAGGGAGAAAAACAGAGCATAAGTATTTATTAAAGAGTTTCGCTTTTTGCGCCGGTTTTTTAGCCACTTCATCGTCATAAGAAATCGCTGGGTTAGTGTCCGAGCGCCCGCTCAAGAACGCTTTTTGATGATTCCAGAACTTCCTTGGATTTTCTTTGAAAGACTCTTCAATTTTAGCTGATAATGCCGTTGTTTCGACCTCACTGGATACTGGATGTCTTTGACTTCGTTTACGGGGCTTCAGCCTCCGTTCCGGGGATTTGCTCAACTAGCAACTCACTAGCTCAAAGCTAGTGAAGAGATAGCCAGGAAACCAATTTAGCTAAAAATGTTCAGACAAAATTACCACAACAGTTACTGTAAAATTATACAGTCGAAGTTAGTAAATAAATAGCCAGGAAAACATCATGGGTTAGATGCCCAACATCAAGCAAACCTATCATAAATATACAAATAGTGACATAAATTTTTAATTTAAGAGAAAAGACACGATTTTCATGAAACTGTCCATAAATTTTCTACATAATTAATTAAATATAACATGATTATTTACGTGTATTAATTATTTCACAAAGCTCCACAAATTTTAAAAATTGTTATTTTGGTAAACTTGTCTCCCATATTTTTGGCACTTGCCTGTCAATTTTGGCATGAAAGTTTGGCAAGTCGTATGCCTTTCCAACAGCATCCAAAATTGCACGGGTCCTTTCCAGTGACCCAACCAATTTGTTGTTGGAATGATAATTTACTCCACGAGGAAAAAGCACGTACGTGCGTGGGTTTTCATTGAAGCGGTCGCTCGCAGTTATTTCAAATCTCTGAACTTTTTCAGGCTTTTTGGTCATGAAATAAAATTCCAGGCCATCGAGGAAATTGGATGACTTGGACGCCATCATTAGCAGATACCAAACCAACCAACGCGTTATACTCAGCGCTGCAATTTAACAGATGATTTCAGCGATCTGTTGTCCGAGGTCAATTGTAGCTCAAACTGTTAATAAATTGATAAACAGCATTGAAATACGAGAACCATCTAACTTTTTCCATTAGCCGCAATCTGCTGCATCGCGT